TACTAGAGCATTCGGCAAGGTACGGGATAGGTCTAGAAACGCGGCGGCACACTAGTCATGTGACTCGCTGACGCAACATTATAATTCCACAAAACCCCCATTGCCCGCGTCGGCCAGAGCGCAGATTGCACTTTGAATAGCTTTGTACTAAAACAAATAAACAAACAATTTAATTAAGAGGTGGAAGTATAAGGATTTATTGTACATATGATTTATTTAAAATGAATAAATGCACATCAATTCGTTGAATTACATTAAACATGGAATATAATATTCATACTTGTATTATCTATTTTTCAGGGACAAAGGTACAATTTTTGAAAAATAAGCATTTTAATTGACCAAAGAGAAAAAAACATTCTCCTAAAAACTTTCACTAATATTAGAAATTCCTATGTTTGGTAGTTCAGGAAATTCATCACGAAATATAACATTACACTCTAACTATTACATATAACGGGTCCCCAAGTGGAACAGCGGTAAGTCTTTGGACTTGCAACGCTAAAATCAGGGGTTCAACTCCTTCAGTGGACCCAGCAGATAGCTCGATGTGGCTTTTCTATAAGAAAACACCCACTACATCCAACAGTCTAAAAATATATATATATATAATTCTTACTACCTAGTGGATATATATCTTATATTTTATAGACAAAAAACGAATAACAACAACCGTACTAATAAATTTAAGGTTATTTCAAACGTAGAAATTATGTTAAACTTATCACACTTGAAATATTACTTGATATAAGATGGAAATTTTGAAACTTCATTTGTGTACTGTTTCAAAATAAAAAAGTGCAAAAGAACTACAAAATATCCAGGTAATGTTTTTGTTTTTATACATCATTCACTGCAACTCGTTCATATATGCTGTATTATCTCACATACTCACTTTGGGAGAGTAGCCCTCGATGGCTTAGCTGTAAGTCTGAAGGCTTACAACGCTAAAAATCGGATTTCTGTACCCGTGTTGGGCACAGCACAAATAGCCAATTGTGTAACTTTGCGCTTAAGAACAACACAAACAAAACCAAATTTAACATTAGATGGATATTGCAATCGTTTGTTTGTTTAATTTCGTGCAAAGTTACTCAAGGAGTAGACGTCCCTAATTTTGAAGTGATAGACGAAAGGCAAGGCTACAAGTCAACACTATCCACAGCCAATTTATGGCTTACACTTTGTACCATCGAAAAGTGGAATTGATTATAACATTATAATGGTCCTCACGGTTAAGGGGGCGAGCATGTTCGGTAACGGGATTTAAACCCGCTGCCAGCAGATTGCGAGTCGAGCGCCCTAACCAGCAGGCCACACCAGGCCTTATTGCAATCGCGAGGTGTGAAAGGAATGCAAACACGGCCGAATAGTATATGACTTCTTCTTTTAAAAAAGTTATTTTTTTTTCTTTACAATTATATAAATTAAATTTTAACGTCAATACCGATGTGACTAAATGAAAATGTTTGAAATTGAGTATGTAAAAACCGGAAATGAAATCTCTATCAAGATGTCAGTGACGTTACTAACTGGATGTTTTCGGAAAGAAGCTGGATGACTTAGACTTCGTGGTTTGTGTTTATTTGCTATAGATTGTTTATTGAATTTCGCGATAAAGGCTGTCTGCGCTAGCCATCCCTCATTTTGAAGAGACAGACTAGATGGTAGGTCAGCTAGACAACACCAACCACCGCGAACTCTTGGGCTACTCTTTTAACAAAGAATAGTGGGAATGACTGTCACGCTATAATGCCTTCAAGGCTGAAAGGGCAAGTATATTCAGTGACGGAATTGGATCCCGCGATTTGCCAAGGTTTATGTAGATGAAAACATAATTATTTATGTTATAAGACTTATAGGTAATAAATAAACAAAACTCTTGTAAATTTTTACAATATTTAAAGATTTAGTAATATTTGGAAAAATATGTTTCCAGTAAAAAAAAAATTCCTCATATTACTCGTATAACATTGTTATAGTGAAGTGATTTTCGTAAATGGTTTAATAAGACCATAATAGTTAATTATTATCATATACATATATAACAAATAATCTGTCAAAACATACATTTACTAGCTGTGACTGCACTCCTTTTTAGAAATGTAAAGTAAGCCAAATTTGATAATTATTATCATAAATTTATATTAAAGTTTGTATATCAGTAGGTAAGCGGTAACTTTTTAATCTGTCCCACTAAAAATGCATCAAAATTATGAAGATTAATCTCAGGAAAAGCAGGTGAATGCATAAATTTTAATTCAGAACTCAAGAGCCCGGCCGTAATGGGTGCGCCTGTGACACACACATTTCCTCTCTTCGCTCGGTCAAATAAACCTTGCCCCCTCCCTCCACCTTTAATTTGCTTCCTACACATTTGAAATACCAATGTTTTACAAATCGTTATAAAGTATTAGATTGCTTTGTGTAATTTAAATAAATTTACAGTGTGTGTAAAGGTAAAATATTTACTTATTGTTGAGCTTAAGATTGTAAGTTAGTGCTGATTATCTTAAATACTCAAGAGAGAGGAGTTTGCACGCAATCATTGTGAGTTCTCTAGCTCTTAGCTTTTGAAATGCGTAGTAGTCCATAGGTCATTATGAAGTCCGTAGGTTTTACATCTTTAAAAAAATATTCTTGTTGTAGAACATGTAAAATACCAAACCTGTTCAAATTATATTTAAAATATATTTTAACGGGCCTCCCAGTGGGTCATTGCAAAAGAATAACAAATAAAGCTTTATTATTTGTTTGTTTTAGAGCAAAGCCACGTGGGGCTATCAGTTGTGCCTACCGAAGGAATCGAACCCGAGTCCCGAATTTTGGTGTTATAAATCCGTAAACTTACTAGCGTCCCACCACAGGTCACATTTTTTAAGGTTCTTTTTTTATAAAAAGTAGAGCAAGTTGTTGTTTCAGAAGCAAAAAGACAGAGCTAAATATATACATATAACAATAAATATAAATATGTGTGATGATAGAGATATTACAATGATAACAAAGTCTGGTTTGCTTTGTTTTGAATTTCGCGCGAAGCTTCACGAGGGCTATCTGCGCTATCCGTCCCTAATTAAGCAGTAAAAGACTAGACGGAAGGCAGCTAGTCATCAACACCCACCGCCAGCTCCTGGGCTACTCTTTTACCAATGAATAGTGGGATTGACCGTCACATTATGACGCCCCCACAGCTGGAAAAAGCTTGATAGGGGACGGAATTCGAACCCGCGACCCTCAGATTGCAAGTCGAGTGCCCTAAATACCAGGCCATTCAAATTACAGAATTAGTCAAAGAAGTTAAGTGGAGCGACTGCCATATATTTCGTAGCTCTTCATTTGATCTAAAGTGATCCAAGTGCGGAATATTGGTTTGTAGAAGCCTGGAACTCAAGTGTAACCAGCTGTTGCTAAGCTGGTTGATGAATAATGTTACAACCTCGGATACCATTTTAACAAAGATCCAACACCATTCATCTGGGTAGTGTCTTTAAGATCTACTTCAAAAGTACCCACTTCATTAAAACATCAGTTGGGCAGACAGTTTGATAAGAAAGTTTTAAACAAACCAATCATTTGTGAGGACTGGTAGATTATTGACAGACATAACGCGGCCCTGTTGGACAACGCAACAAAGAGCCAATAATGTTACAAATTGAGTGTATATTATTTAAACCAGCTAGCAAGTGATACGCGGCACGAGATTAGTGTCTTGACAGGGCACTAATTATTCTGATGATATTGTAGGGTGCAACATACAATTTTAACCAACTGTTGCATACTTCTCTCGTCCGTATGGTCCATAACTA